TTTTTTTTTAAAGAAGAAGTGAGTGTAATTAAAAAGTATTTCTTTTCTGTGAATATGTTGTGCCACGTCTTCATCTAAAAAACATAATTTTAAGGTAGTTAAATGAAGAAAGAAAATATGTTATTAAAGAATTGAGTTATTTTATGATTTGAAAGAGAAAGAATAAATTAATCTTATAAAAAAACATTAAATGGAAGAAAACCAAAAAGAATATACTCAAATATCAACACTTCCTACACCAGCAGATGTTAATAAAGCAGTACAATTTGAAGGGACAGTATTAAGATCATCAAATACTAAATTACTTGAAAATAAAAGAATGTATAGATGTAGTAAATGTAAAAGAGAATTTGAAGTAGAGGCACAAGTTGAAACATCATTTCAATTTGAAATGCCACCATTTTGTGGAGGAACAACAAGAACAGGGGATTTATGTAAAAATAAAAAATTTACACAATGTGGAAATGCTGAGACAATAGATTATCAAGAATTAAGAATTCAAGAACCAATACATAATTTTGTAACAGCTGGACTACAACGCCAAGTAAGTGTTATTTTACTTGGACAGAATGTTGGAGAAGTTCAAACAGGAGATTTTGTTACAATTAAAGGAATAGTTAAAGTACGATGGATTTCATATAATATTGATGAAATACCAGAATTAGAAATTGTTGTTCTTGTAGATGAAATTATTTCTAAAAATGTAGATAAAATGGCAATTAATGTAACAACAGAGATGGAAGAAGAATTTAAAGCATATTGGGAAGAAAATAAAAATCATCCAATTAAAGGAAGGGATATGATATTACAATCAATTTGTCCTGAATTATGTGGATTACGTATGTGTAAATTAGCAGTAATGTTAGTTGCAACAGGAGGAATTTCAAGAATAGATAAAGAATCAAAAACAAAAACAAGAGGAACAATACATTTATTACTTGTAGGTGATCCAGGAACAGGTAAATCACAATTATTAAAATTTGCATCTAAATTAGGACCAAGACATGTTCAAACAACAGGAGGTGGAACAACATCAGCTGGATTAACAGTTTCAGTTATTAATATTGGAGGAGAATTAAGTTTAGATGCAGGAGCATTAGTTTTAGCAGATGGAGGAGTTTGTTGTATTGATGAATTTTCAGGAATTAATAAATCAGATAGAGCTGATATACATGAAGCAATGGAACAACAAACATTATCAGTTGCAAAAGCAGGAATTGTTAGTCAATTACATACAAGAACAGCTATATTAGCAGCAACAAATCCAAAAGGAAGATATGATCCAACAAAATCAATGAGTTTAAATACTGCAATTGATCCACCATTATTATCAAGATTTGATATTATATTATTATTATTAGATGATAGAAGTAAAATATGGGATGAACAAGTATCTGATTATGTTTTAAATGGACATAAACCAATTAATAAACCATTATTTGATTGTGACCAATTACAATGTTATATATTATATGTAAAAATGCATTTTTTTCCAGAAATGACAGAAGAAGCAGAATTAGTAATTCAAAAATATTTTCAATATCAAAGAGGAAAAGAAAGAAGAGAATCAGGAAGAACAACAATAAGATTATTTGAATCATTAATTCGAATTTCCCAAGCACATGCAAAATTAATGATGCATCATACTGTTACATTAATGGATGCAGTTATGGCAATACTACTTATTGAATCATCTTATAATGGTGCATCAAATAAAAGAGAATATTCAGAATTTCCTATAGATCCAGACAAACAATATGAAGAAGAAGAAATTCGACTTCTTCAAACACTTCAACTTGAATATTTAATTGATAATAAAGTAAATTCACAAAATACTTCAGATGAATTAACTAAAATGAATGAAGAAAAAATACAAAATAAAAAAGGATATACTCAACCATTAAATAATATAAGTCAAGAAGATTATGAAAAATCAATACAAAGAGAAGAAGAAGAAACAAGAAAAAGTTTTTGGAATAATTATATGGATTCACAAAGAAAGAGTGAAATGACAGGAATTGTATTTCCATCACAAAGAATGAGAGGAGGACCTTTAAAAAAAGGACAAAGTATTAATTTTCTTATAGAAAAAAGAAAATCTGAAGAACAACTTGAAGAAATAAAAAAAAGTCAAAATTTACAATTTAACATTCCAACAAAAATGAAAAGTATTTCAAATAATCAAAAAGATATTGAAAAGAAAACAGACCAAATAAAAGAACAACAAGAAATTAATAAAGAAGTTAAACAAGATGATGAATTTTCATTTGACAGTGATTTTACTGATCTTTTTGAATTAAATGAAGAAAATTCAAAAGATAAAAATAAAGAAATAAAAGAAATAACAGATGATATTGATAATCTATTAGAAACTTCAACAACAACAACTGAACTATCACTTAAGAAAATTAATTCATTTTCTAAACAAGATGAAAAACCAATTTTAATGACACAAAATAAACATTCTAATTTATTAAATAAAATTAAAATAATGAAAAGTAAAACTAAACAAGAAACAGAAGAAGAAAAAGAAGAATCTGAACAATTAAAAAGAAAACAAAGTGATGATGAATTTAGTTTTGATGATATTGATTCATTATTTCAAGAAAAAAGAGATTTGTAATTTAAAATAAAGTTTTTTTTTTAATTCAATTAATAAATTTGTTTAGCATTACATTGTTCTTTAAAGAAACAAGTAAATATTTTATTATAAAATTCATTATCATCTTCACATGCATCAGTACAATCTGGTTGAAATTTAATTTGATGAAGAATTGGATTAAAATGAGAATCTACCATAACATCAACACCATATATTGCACATGAATTAACTTCAAATTTATATTTATGTGTTTGAATTCCTGCATCAAATGTTCTACTTATTAATATTTCAATTTTTTCTTTTAAATTCTCCCATTTACATTCTTCTCCATATTTTTCATTAAATTGTTTAATAAAATCAATATGATCCATTGTATTTATTTTATTTCCATATTTTTTACTTGTAAAATGTCTTTCATAATCATTTAAATCATCTAAATTAAATGTGTTAGTAGTAAAATGACTCCAAAATCTATCATATAAATAAATATCTGGTTTTTGACTTTTCCACATAACATCATATTTCATTAAAACAATAAATCGAAGTTCAAATTTCCTTTCATTAATAAGAAGTGGTTCTATAATATATTTACTAATAATACATGGAATACTATTAGCTATTTTAATAATAGCATTTATATTATTAAAAATACCATTTCTATTTCCTTCAGTTCTTGTAATAGGTTTAATAATCCAATAATTATCCATTCCTTCTTTTTCTCTTTTAAAATATGTTATTACAAATTCTTTAACTTCTTCAAGATTAGAAAAATCAAATGTTTCTGGAATAATTTTTATATATTCTTTTCCATATGCTAATTTAAGTGTATGATATAATTCTTTATTTATTGTAAGTGAATTTTCTCCTTCAAATTGATCAATATATACATTTGTTCCTTTAAATATTTCAATTTCTTCATCTTCTAAAGAATTTAATAAGAATATCCCATCACTTTCATTAATTATTTCTGTATGTTCAAATGGACTAATTGTTAAATATTTTTTAATTAAATCATTTTGACTATATATTTTTGATGGTGAACTTATATATTCTTGTTGTTTAATTTGATATGACTCTGCTAATTTATTTTCTTCTATTATTTCTTTTTTTTCATATGATTTAATCATTTCATCAACTACTTCTTGTGCTTCAATAAATCTATTTCTTAAAGGAATAGCAGTATATTCATCTGGTAATAATTGAAGTGGTGTTAAATAATCACAACTAATCATTTCTGCATATTCAATTTTTTGAATTGGTAAAAGTAATGTATAAAATGTTTCTGTTGGGATGAAATAAAATGGTATTAATTTACAATTTGGTGTTTTTGAATATATTATTGAAATTCCAACATTATCAAGAAGATACCATAAACATTTTTCTTTATTTTCTTCTTCTGATCTAAGACGAAGAGAAAAATTATATTCCCACATTAAATCATAAAATCTTTGCAATCTTGTTGCTGGATCTGCATCATCGGAATTGATTCCAAAAAGTTCTTCATATTCAACTAAAATTTGTGGATTTTTAGCAATCGCCATCATAGCATCTTCACGTTCTGCAGTAAAATGATGTTCTATAAGAAAAATATCTGAATTTGCTTCTATTCCTTCTTCTTTAATACATAATAATCCAAATGGACTTTTTCTTCCATTTTCTGGAACAATACCTTCTGGCATCTCACAAAATTGAAATACTTTTCCTGCATCAAAAATTTGTTCAACAAGTTTATGATATAATGGAATAACTAAATTTGATGGAATTCCAAGTCTTTTAAATTGTTCTTGATGACTTTGCATAAAAAATACTGCTTCAGTTGTTATGTCTTGCATCAATTTTAATTCTTTATTCTTTCTTCTTTTTTATTTTTT